GTGCAGAATAACATAAGTGGACTTTGAACGATTAATTGCCGCTTTGAACGATTACGTAATTGTGGCATCCGTAATTGTAATCGCGATTAGAAATTCAATTAATTGTGCAGCCCTAACACAAACACAATGCCCTTAACTGCGACACTGTTTTTTCCACCTGCACAAAAAGACGCACTTTCTTCAGCAGCAAAACACATCCCTCGCCTTGCTTTTTCTAGAATCACAAAGAGTGACAGTCCCCGCTCAAGTTTGACTACGGCTGCATCTTTTTCCCAGTTCTTTATTCATCGACTATATACCTTGCTTGAATAATGAATGTGTGTAAATGCATTCCCTAACCTTCTAGAGAGAGAAGTCCAGCACTCCAGGGATGAAGCCTGGCACGCCCATGTCCCAGGAGTCGTCCACCCCAGGCCCTAGCGTTCCTCCGCAGTTCCGCCCCGTTCCAGGGAAGTCAGGCGTTGACCCTCTTGGTAAGATCCTGTTATCCTGATAGTCCAAGTCTTTAGTGACTGAATTTGTAGAGTGTTTCGGTCAACCTGGTTTGAATGCTCTTATTGAGGGTTGATGGCTAGTCAGCCAGCAGAGGGCAGTAGTGGTCTTCCTGTTTCTGAAAGGTGGTCTTGTTTTAATGGTATCATCTTGCTGAGCTTGTGTCTTTGAAAGCTGTGTAATTGTTTTAGCATTCTTGAGAATGATATTAATGGGGTCAAAGACATGACACTGTTTTTTGTCAGGATCTTTTAATTTCTTCTAAAATGAAAAATGAAATTCATACATACAGTGACTTGAATGCACCTTCTATGATACGCATGTTTTTAATTTCTGAATTAAAATTTGTTTTAATATTTTTGAGGGCACAAGTCCAAATGTAAGTGTGGGCTAACTGTCTTGATATAATAAAGAAGAAGAAAAAAAAGCCTCAATGAAAGGATGAAATTCTGGATAACCTTAAGTAGTTTGGGATAATGTTGAATGTAAACAAAAAAACAACAACTTTAGTTTGGAATAATCTCATTGTCAATAAATTATTGCTTATTTATATTATACTTTTTTATACTTATTATACTTCTCACAGCATTGAGAAGAAACCTTGCCTGTCTTTTCTGCTTGTCTATTTCTTACGTTCTATTTCTGTCTTAAACTCTTTCTTAACCTCTATTTCTGGATTTCTTAGCATTAGGTCTGAGGAACCCATTGGCGGTGCAGGGCGGGTACCCCCCTGGTGCATTTGGCCTTCCTCCCCCGGGAGTTAACGGCGAGTTGGCTGGAGCCGCAGGATACGGTGCCGGTCTCCACCTCGTCTCTCCTCAGATGAACGGCTCAGCTGCTGCCGCTGCTGCCGTTGCTGCAGCCGCCGCTGGATACGGACGCTCACCTGTGGTAAGGAAAAAACACTGAGACCGTTACATTTACCCTGTGCCTTTATGATTTCATCTCTTAAATTTTTTGCTTTCTTGCTTTTGAAGGTGGGCTACGAGTCTCCTCACCCCCATATGAGGGTACCAGGGTTACCTGCTAGCCTGCAGTCGACAGCTTCTGGAAAACCGTAAGTTTCCAATGCCAGTTCCTCTCGACGCCAACTCCATAGTCCAGTCTGTCTTAAACTAAATCCTAATAATAAGACTTTCACACCCCCAGTGCTTACTCGTTCCACGTGAGTGCAGATGGTCAAATGCAGCCGGTGCCCTTCCCTCCTGACGCCCTCCTCGGCCCTGGCATCCCACGTCACGCCCGTCAGATCCACACCCTCAGTCATGGAGAGGTGGTGTGCGCGGTGACCATCAGCACCTCCACGCGTCACGTCTACACCGGCGGGAAAGGCTGCGTCAAAGTGTGGGACATCAGCCAACCGGGCAGCAAGAGTCCAATGGCCCAACTGGACTGTTTGGTGAGATCTGCGTCACGTTAAACTCTACTTGTAGTTGGTACTCGCCATCCTAGTTGGACTAAATAAAGTCTACTCTTTTGTTCAATCAGAATCGAGACAACTATATCCGGTCATGCAAGCTCCTTCCAGATGGGCGGACTTTGATAGTCGGGGGCGAGGCCAGCACGCTGTCAATCTGGGACTTGGCCACGCCCACTCCACGCATCAAGGCCGAATTGACGTCTTCGGCTCCGGCCTGCTATGCTCTGGCCATCAGTCCCGACAACAAGGTCTGCTTCTCCTGCTGCAGTGATGGAAACATCGTGGTCTGGGACCTGCACAACCAGACGCTTGTCAGGTATCTACAGACTCCTGCTGGAGAGATAGACCATGTTCATCTTCCTGAAGTCATGTGATGTCCTTGTGTCGCCCTCTATAGGCAGTTCCAAGGTCACACAGATGGAGCCAGTTGTATCGATATTTCCAACGACGGGACCAAACTGTGGACAGGGGGTCTGGACAACACAGTGCGCTGCTGGGACCTGAGAGAGGGTCGACAGCTGCAGCAGCATGACTTCACCTCACAGGTACTGCAGCTCAGAGGAAACGCAGGAAATGTAGTTGTATATTTCTCAATTTGAAGAATTGTGGTTGTGGATACATTTGAAAGCTGTTATCATGTGGTAGTGTGAACTGTGAAATGGAGGTATTTGAAAATGCTGATGCATGTTTAGTCATCTGATGTATTGTGCTTCTGTTCACTTTCATAGTGTTTCTAAAGATAAATGTTACTTTGTACTACATAGTATGTTCTATATAGTGTTCATTGTGTAGTATGAGATTAATCCGGACATACTATATCCACAATGTTGTCATTGTCATGTTGACCTACCAGCGTCAGGTGATTTAAGCATTTTCAGACGTGTCAGTATGGATGAGCAACTTTTAGAAAATGCTTGAAAACACTAGTGTAGATGGAGAACATTTTGAAACAATTATGGATTAATGTGGACGTAGCATCAGTCCTTGAAGACAGGATCATGAGGTTCAGAATGAGAATGAATTGTTTGTTTTTAGCATGAAATAATGTGTTTATTTGTGCATGCAGATCTTTTCTTTGGGTTACTGTCCTACGGGCGAGTGGCTTGCAGTGGGGATGGAGAGCAGTAATGTGGAAGTGCTGCACGTCTCCAAACCAGACAAATACCAGCTGCACCTTCACGAAAGCTGTGTTCTCTCGCTCAAGTTTGCCTACTGCGGTACATTTGTTTTTGTTTTTTGTTTTCTCCTTAAAAAATACCTTGTTTTTAGTTAGAAATGAAAAAAAAGCATAGAAAAACATGGCTGTTTAATTGAAGGGCTGTGCCTGAAATCTTACTTTTAACTATTGCAGGTAAATGGTTTGTAAGCACAGGCAAAGATAATCTACTGAATGCATGGCGAACTCCATATGGATCAAGCATATTCCAGGTAATGGTTTGATAATAGTGTCTGTTGACTATAAATACCGCAGTGTTGAGTAACTAACTAAAAGTAGTAACACTACTAACCTTAATACATTAAGTAAGCTTTAAAATGCTGCAGCTTTTCCAGTAACAAGCTACTTTTTCTGAAAATTAGCTCTGAATTCTGATCGTAGCAGCCAAGCAAACTGACAAATGCACAAGTAATTTTAGTAAATTACGTCATTCAAACGGTTGGTAAATGTTAGCTACTTTAAGTAAAAAATAGTAAAAGAAGCATTCATTGCACAATTTTTTTTAAATCTATTCAAGTTAGCTTGTAGCTTAGCTAACTACTTTTTAAAGGGTAGCTTAAACTATTTTAAATGTTAGTTTTCTAAAATACAGGCTACTCAGAATAGCTTCCCCAGTATTGTTTAACCGTTTCAGATAGCTTATTGTCATAGCACAATTTAACTGATCATTTAAATTGCATTTTTGTCACTATGATGAAGACTTTTATTATGACATTGTCACAATGAGTCAAAAATGAATTTTCTGTTTTCTTTCTGTTTATCCTATTTTTCGGAATAAATGAGACAAACACTGCTCAGCAGTGCTATCTAACACCTGATTAAACTCACTAATTGTTTTTGTCCCTAGTCTAAGGAATCGTCGTCCGTCCTCAGCTGTGACATTTCCCCTGACGACCAGTTCATTGTCACTGGCTCAGGAGATAAGAAGGCTACTGTGTATGAAGTCATTTACTAAACTGAATGTGTTTGGAACGTCATTCATAAAATTAGAAAAACTGATTGGATGGAGGAGACCAGATTCATCTTTGTTTTGACTTGAACTTGGGAGACAAAAGGTGTGGCATGGACGTCAGTATGGACTTTTGAGACAAAGATATGGCTGTACTTTTCGACTCCAGGATCGGATGGTGGATCTTCAGAACTGACCTTGTTGTTTTTTTAATGCTGTGAGGAAAGCTGGTAGACTAGCTTCAAAAACATGGAATTTCTCCAAAGACCTCCTCTTGTCTTCTTTCCTTTTTTTTTTTTAAACAAGATGAAACCTCTGTAGTGAATATAATAGTAAAAGAAATCTTATTTTTTTAGCCTTCGGAATTTTCACGGAAATGGACAATTATGGAGCCACCGTGTATGAATGAATTATGACGAGACCTAAAGGACTGGCCTATGACTTCGTCAATTTTCTTAAACGCTGACCTGATCTCGGCTCTGTGTTATGATTGTATGGATGGTGTATAAGATGATGGACTATGATGTAGGACAACAAGGCTTTGGATTTTAGTGTGTCATTGACTTCAGGGAAACGGCTGTAAAGACACTCAGTTAACATCCTATCACATGAATACTGTATGTTGGAGCATGTTGAAAATTATTTTGACTTTGGTCGCAAAATTGGTATGTATGAACTGTAAATAAAGCTCTTTAAAAGCCAAAAGATGCATACTGTTGGGTAGTTGCATTTATATTTCTGATGAAATGGAAGAAATTCTTAACTTTTTTTAACTCTGCATTAATTATGTAGATAAATACACAAATTCGAATAAAATTTAAATTCAAAAAGTAAAGTTTAAGGACTATGAAGACCCAAAAACTCATGCTTATGCTGATTTTAATTTCTATGTAATTTTTAAAATAAGAAATTTAAATGCGTAAAAGAATGTGAATGCATTAAATTCATTAATTGTAACCAAGCTTATGTTTGTCACTGATGAGATGGCTTAGTGTATAAAATAGAACTACAATATAAATTGTTTACAATTATTGAACGTAATACAATTTCCATTTAATACAATTATTACAATTTGTTATTGTAATACAATTATTACTATGTTGTAAACAATTCTACATATGTAAATAAAATTTGCATTAGCATGAGCTGGTATGTATATATTTTTTAATTATTGATTGATATTGAACCACTTCTCAAGAACTCAACTTCAAAAGATGACCACAAGTTTAATTTGTCAATGTACACATGTCTTTTACATCACATGGGACGTGCTACAGGGATATCACAGCGATGCCTTCGAAAAAGTTCCTTGGCTTTCAAGAGAGAGAGTGTCTTCAACAAAATCGTGATGGTAAACATTGTTCTCAGTATACAAACAATGGGTTATATAAGGATAGATAGATACACATATTCAGATAGCATAATGTCAAAGACAGATCATGCAGCAGAGCCGGTCTGTCTTGAAACGGACAAATGCCACTTTGCAGGCAGCCATATTTTCAGCTATTCGAAAAAGAAAAAATAAACACTGCACTTTCTGCATAATAAACAGACTGATCAAAACACTAGTAACACTGCTTACTATTGCCATACAAAAGAGAAAGAACCTGATACAATTCCTTCTGTTCACAAACAAAAATGGTGCTGAGAAAAGCTTTATAGATCAAAAGAAGAATGAACAAAACCGTAATTAAAAACAAAAAAAATCTGTTCCCAGCAGGATGTTTGGTGCATGTGATAGATGAATCCTGTAGTGTCTCTCCTTGAACATTCCTGGTCCGGTTGGCAACCACAGCTCTTCTTATTGATGGTGTGCATCAGGGCTCTGTGTTAGGACCTCTCAAGCATTTTTCTCATTTACGTTGTGAAAATGTACATTCAGGGATGTCAATTAATAAAATTGACATTGACATTAAATGATTAATAAAATAATTAATAATTTTTAATTATTCATTAATTATTTACTGATACTGATATTGCAATATTTGCAATCCTCAAATTAAAATAATTGTATCTTCATAAAGACTATTGCATTCTGTTCCATGCTGTGTTGATTAATTACATGATTTATTTTTTGGAACCTATTTTTGTAATTAATTGTTCTAAATTAAACATCACATTACTTTATACATTTTTAACAATTCTTAAAATTTTTGATGAAATACCATATACCAGTTATGAATATTTAGGTATTTGCATCATCTTACTGAAGTAGAACAAGCATGAAAAGATTTCCCCATGCAAAGCTAAAAGATAATTAATGGCATGAAAATGAGCATTAAACCACAAATGAGTGCAACATCTGTATGATAATCCACAGGAATTAATACCGAACGGTCGTGGTTGTGAATATTTGCTGCACGAATCCTGCATGAATTTACCCTTGCTCCTCATTAGACACTGACTTGTGGAAGGAGGAAATTAAATGCAGTTTGGAGAATTCGACTGGGATTTGCCACATGAATGTCTAATTGGGTTGGATAGGCAAGTGGAGAATTGTTTGTACGCCCATATCATGTTCATCCGGAGATGCTCCAATGTGAGCCAGGAGCCTCCAAACTCTTTTCTCTTTGGAGGGAAGATGCTGTGCTCGCTTTATGGAGATAATTTGCGACTAATGAAATGATTGTCTGGTTTTGGTGTTTCTGTAAGTAGAAGCTCCCTAAATACCTGCTGTCTGTGGGGCTTCCTCTTTTAGCTTGGAGACGGTTCTAATTAAAACCTCTCCACTTACTATGTTCGTAATGGAATACTGGCATACTGCATATTTCGCAGTATATACTGTGTACTACATACTATTTAAAAAAAAAAATCTAAAAGCATAGGATGTAAAATAAGAACAGAAGGATGTTAAGATATATAGTAGTACGCTACATTGTTGCACATTTAATTTGGCGAGAGCCGTCCACTTTGTTGATTTACATTTTTGTTCTAAAGTTGTTGTCCAATATTATTACAAAAAATGTGTTGCTAATTAATCTTCCATTATTGTAAAAGTCATGAAGTTACAGAAGCATCAACTAGTATTTTCTTCTGTATTGTGATAATTTAAAAGAAAAAAATGTATGACTTGTGATTAAATTTACAAGGCAAAAATAGATGCCGACTAAAAACTGGAAGGTCAAGTTGAGAACATTGCCATGGGATCCAGTATCCCACATAATATTTTATTCAGGACATTTTGGTAAAACTTAGTATGCAGTGCTGGGTAGATTACTTACAAATTGCAGTCCGTTACTGATTACAGATTATGATGAAAATTGTAGTTAGGAATGTAATCTAGGTTATTTCTTTTAGTTAATGCATTATGACTATTGTTCAAGAAACTTAAAAAAAAAGAATTATGTATAATTTGCTGCCACTGTGTGAATAATATGTAATCATGTAATATTTAAAGTAACTCTAATCTGATTATGAGCATTTTAAAATGTAATATAATCAAATTATGAGTACTTAATTTTTGGAATCTGATTACGTAATCCAGATTACATGTAATCAATTACTACCCAGCACTGTTAGTATGTAATCTGGGTATTTTATGTCTAAAGAAAATTTCATACTGTGCACAGTATACCTATTACATAAATAGTATGAATAGTATGGTAGTATGCCATTCTGAACAAAACCTTCTATTTCTCAAATGGTTGCGAAAGTACTGCAAATAGAAGAGCTATGGTTGCCCGCCATGCCATCCATGATTGTTTCATACTTGGCGCTGTATGTTCATCCATCCATCCGTCCATCTTTGTGTTCAATACACCACCTCATACACCGTGGCTTTCTTATCCCCAGAACCAGTTACAATATATTTGTCGTCTGGGGACACATCACAGCTCAGGACGGATGAGGACTCCTTTGACTGGAGAGAGAGTGAGAGACAAAATGAGACATATTCGCAAATACCGATGAGATCCAGCTAAATCTCACTGTCACAACAGAGGCGTGCGGTGATTTTCGAATCTGCAACAACAACCGTCTCATTTTAAAACAAGCTTTGTTCTTTCTCCATCGCATTTCCTGTCTGCTCAAAGCTGCTCTGTTATTCTGAAATGTTAATAGTGTAGCAGCATTTAAAGGCTTAGGACATCTAAAGACATCTCTAAGGAAGAAATAAAGTCATATGGGTTTGGAACAAACCTGGAAAATACTGGCTCCATACGGCGTCCTCCATGCATTGAGCAGATTGTCCTTTCCCGTGCTTACAAACCACTTCCCTGAAATACACACAAAGAAAATTAAATCACATCTTGTGCCATCTAATAGCATTTATTTTAAATAGACATAAATAATGAAGGCCCATAGGAATACATGGGCAAATTCAAAGACTGGCATATACATCTGCATAGTGACTCGTACCGCAGTAGGCAAATTTGAGCGAGAGAACGCAGCTTTCGTGAAGGTGCAGCTGGTATTTGTCTGGTTTAGAGACGTGCAGCACTTCCACATTACTGCTCTCCATCCCCACTGCAAGCCAGTCGCCCGTAGGACAGTAACCCAGAGAAAAGATCTGCGCACACATAAAAACACTTCAATAAAAGATCTAACGCATAAAAATGTGCCTGCAGACAGAAAAATGGATGGCAAGTACCTTTAGGCCATAAAAGTTTGAAAAAATGAAATATAATGGCACGATGACCAAATTTACTCTGCTAATAAATGTTTCAATTTTATTATGGATGACTCCACAGTGCAATACTTCTATGTGGTGTTTTGAGTAAGATGTTTTTGTTCTTAAACAATACATCAGATGACTAAACATGCATCAGCATTTTCAAATACCTCCATTTCACAGTTCACACTACCACATGATAACAGCTTTCAAATGTATCCACAACCACAATTCTTCAAATTGAGAAATATACAACTACATTTCCTGCGTTTCCTCTGAGCTGCAGTACCTGTGAGGTGAAGTCATGCTGCTGCAGCTGTCGACCCTCTCTCAGGTCCCAGCAGCGCACTGTGTTGTCCAGACCCCCTGTCCACAGTTTGGTCCCGTCGTTGGAAATATCGATACAACTGGCTCCATCTGTGTGACCTTGGAACTGCCTATAGAGGGCGACACAAGGACATCACATGAATTCAGGAAGATGAACATGGTCTATCTCTCCAGCAGGAGTCTGTAGATACCTGACAAGCGTCTGGTTGTGCAGGTCCCAGACCACGATGTTTCCATCACTGCAGCAGGAGAAGCAGACCTTGTTGTCGGGACTGATGGCCAGAGCATAGCAGGCCGGAGCCGAAGACGTCAATTCGGCCTTGATGCGTGGAGTGGGCGTGGCCAAGACCCAGATTGACAGCGTGCTGGCCTCGCCCCCGACTATCAAAGTCCGCCCATCTGGGAGAATCTTACATGATCGGATGTAGTTGTCTCGATTCTGATTGAACAAAAGGGAAAACACTGATTTAATCCAAGTCACCATTTTCAAGTCGAGTCACCATTATTTATATAGCGCTTTTTACAATGCAGATTGTGTCAAAGTAGCTTACAGTATTAAACAGGGAAATAGTGTGTCGAAATAGTGTGCCACTCTCCTCTTGCCAGACGAAACCAGCAGTTTAATTCTTTAATTCTAATTCTAACTAGGGATGTTAATTTTAACCTTTTAACCGACCGTAATAATTTTGACGGATTAATACAATCAGTTAAACAGTTTAAAAAGTCATTTAATTATTTATTTTTTCAGTAATTTACCAAAATATTTAAA